GTTTCATTTTATATTGGAGACCCTCACGCCAAGCTTTATAAAGAGATTGAGTGACATCTAAGAGTACAGCAGAGTATTATTTTTAGTTTAGAAAAGAAGTGCAGATTTCTTTTACAAGCTGCTGACGTTTCTCAATAACCGTTTTTAAAAGCCAAATTAGTGATTTATTGCCGTTTATTATGGATATAATGTTAGACCGCAGCATTACCTCAAAATTTTCAATAACTAAAGCAAAAAGCTAAGAGGTCTCTCGAATATTAAAAGAGTTGTATTATATCCTGCAATTCGGAATTATATTTATACTCGATACTTTGCCATGCTTTTGAAAAAAGCAAGAACAAAATGCTTAAGATATTAAGAGATAAGACAGTTAATAACTGTATCGTTTTGCTTATTATTTTAACATGTTGTAGCACCCTATTTGGATTTGAGTCTAGGTGGTCTACGTCATCTAAATGTAATATGCATAAATTGAGATTAGAATTTCAAATAGCAACATATTGGCATTGCTTAATACATCTATTATTAAATTTGCTGCTCCTGTATATCATTAGAATTTATTTCTGAGATTTTAGTTTAGTACAAGCATATGATTTCATATTTATTTTTTAGAATAAAAATTATCATATTTGAATCCAATTCAATAACTTTATTTAAAATGCAATAAAAATATTCCATATATTTTCTTGACATACCACTAAAGCTATTAAAATAATATAAGCTGTGCATTTTACGATTTATTAGTAATATAAGTACAGATACACAAAGATACACTTTAATGATCGCTTTTAAGGAAACATATTATATTAAAAAATATATATAAAAAATCAGTATCCTTAGCAGGAAATAATTAACTACTCGTATAGATATATTATCTTTGTTCTTGGAGTTTAATGTGGTGTGATTGTGCTGATGACCTAAATAAAAAAAAAAAACTAAAATTGATAAAAAGTAAACTGAATCAATTAATTACTCTACAAAGCTCTTTTTAACATAAAAGTATCTAAATTTTCATTAATTAGTTACTAAATTTAACACTTATATGGTACAAAATAACCACTTTTACTAAATATCTTTACTTAGTAAAGATACTTTCAGAAAACATTAATATTTATAAAATTGTTTTGAGTTCCATTCACTAATAGCCACAAATATTCACTGACCGGAAACAATACGTTGTCTCATTTTGCTTAAATACCAAAATATATCTTTATTGAAACATTCTACAGAAGATGTTAAGTACATTTTTGTTTGTTGTCGGTTTGTTGGATGCTAAAGTGTTTAATTGTTATTGTTTAAGTACAATTATATTGACTTTCGCTGCATCAAAATATCGGTTTACCTTTGGAGTGTTTCCGAGCTTGTATCTTTCTTTCAACAACGAAAATCTTTTTAATATCGTTTATTGTTTTTGGTTAAGAAAACTTAACGGAGCGATGAACATAGATCAGATTGCTGCAACTTACATATTAAATAAAAAAAAGTGAATTGAAATGATCACAGCGTCATTATATGAAGCAACTGAGTGGGCAACAGTTGGACTTCAAGCCGCAAAGTACGAGTATCTCGGTCAAGCAAAGAGTCAAGCCAAAGTAGTATTTATATAAATTTATGTAAAAAAAAATACCTTTCACCATTTTATTTGTTTTAAATTTTAAATATAAAGTGTATAATCCGTAACTACATTTATATTAGTATAAATTACTTCCACCATTCCAATCCCTTACCATGACCTGCCTTCTTTTGCTACGACTATATCTACAGCAAGATACAAATTTATTTTTCGACATTTGGTAACAATCTTGTGACATTTCAGACCAAATAAACTGTGAAGCTCTAATATAAACAAGATTTTGATATATCAAACCACAAAAATTTGTTGCGTGGGTGTAAACTGCGATCGTTCTCACGCCTCGTCGTATGATATCCAAAAAAAATAATTTGTAATTGCATATATAATCGTGCAACATATTTACCCAAAGGGAATTTCGGTTCATTTGTGCTATTGTTTGGCATTTTGGAACTGCTGCGCGTATATTGACAAGACTAGACTAGAGATAGACAAAGCTGCTGTAATTGCCCGTTTGGCATATTTGCTTTCAATTTTCACATTAATAAGTTTTGATTGAGCTTATGGTTTTATCTATGGTATACCATAACGATATGTAAGAACACATGCACACATCAGTAAAATTGTGTAATTTAATGGCACTAATGACTAAGGAAACTTATTGGCCTAAGTTTTAAAATTGCATAATGGCTAAGATTGTGTAAGCACACGGCTAGGCTATTCACCTCACGCAAGTTTAGTTAAGATACATACAAAAAAAAAAAATTCATTTGAAGCGAAAAGGTAAGTACTTCAGACATACATGCAATGCTGTGATAAACGTTTAAGGAAGCCAATTGCAGCCTTCAACTTGTACGACAAGTGACAACGCCAAACGTACACTTAAACTGCCACTGAAGTTGCAGTACTATTCGGAGCCAATACAATAATCATGGGAAATCAGTGGCCACAATTACAACTCAAGCACGAACGTTTGCAGATTTGCAGCAAAAACCTAACCGAAGGTGTTTTATTTAACTTCAATGTAAATGTTTACCTTCGGTTAGGTTTGCTTTTGCATTAAAGATCAAGAATGGAAAAGCCATTAAAGGCAATTGGAATGAATCGTACGAAGATAAAAATGTCTACAATAAATACTGAGAAGAATCTATCTATGGTCATCTTTGAGATGCATTTATTCTTGATTTATATGTTCAAATATAAAAATGTTAGAGTTTTTATCTAAATCTTTATGGTGACTATAAAAAACTTAACGTAGATAAAATAGTTTTAGATTTCTTTAAGTTATATTAAAGTTTTTATTTTTAAACTAACATAAATCTTTAAATCTTGAAAAATTTTTAAATTAAAAGCTGAAATTGATTTTAGTATATTTTAAAGTTTTTATACCTTAATATGCTTTGAGGGGTATAATTTCTTCAGTTGATAACGTAAGCAAACATACAAGTAGTATATGTTTAAATTATAATTCAAAATATTTTATTATCTTTGTTGGCTTTCTCCAACAAATGCTAGAACTTTTATAGCAATTAAGCAATGCTATTAATTATAGAAATGTATATAGTATCTAATATTTATGAATAGAAACAGAATTCACTGCAGTTAGCAAAGTATTATAGTGCTTTTATTATACAAAAGTACACCAATGATAAAACTATATATTGGGAACTCATCAAAAGGGATCGTGCAAGGCTTACTGCAGTTCTTTATCCATTGAAAACTATCTTAATATAAAAGTATATAAGAAATTTAAAATTTAAAAACTCATTTTTTTAATTAAATATAATTATTTTTAAAAAAATATGTTTATTTTTTAAATATAATATAATTTATAATTAATAATTAATTTTTTCCTCATTGGTGCATAGGAATCCACGCAGAGAAACTGTGTATTCCTTATAATCCTCACTACTGACGTTATGGAAACCGGCAGGAAAAATAAACCATTAAATACTTTCTCCTTGAATGACCGGCTTTTCGTCCTAAAGAAATAGGTTTTGATGAAGATTTTTCTTTGTCAGCTTATTAGACTACTCATCGGTAAAGCCGAAAGACCTATTAAATAATTTAAATTCGATGGGATGGAGTAAGTTTATATTCTTCTATTTTAAGGGTTCTTGCGGGAAAGGTATAAGTAAAACGGCAAAAAAAGTACTAATTAAGGTACAGGGAAAGTTATCCGATAACCTGCCACTACAACCAACCAATCAACACCCATGAAACTTACTTAAATATATATATAAACTTACTTCGTGCTTCAGTAATATTATGTAAAAATAGTTAAAGGTTTAGGTTATATAGGTTATATGTTATACTAATATAAGATTTAATATATAAGCAGTTTAATATAATTATAAAAATTAATATTTACAACAGATTTATATACTTCTTCTCTACGTTAAAGTTGATTTAATTTATTGATTTTTAAATGGTATTGGATTAATATGAATCTGCTGTGAATAAATTTGCAACCTGCTTTACTCTTCTAGTTCTAGGTCTGTGGCAATAACGGATTAAAACAAAAATTGTAGTTTTAAAGAGTATTTTCAGTAAACTTGCTACGAATGAATAAACAAATATTTTTAAGTTTTTTTTTTGTCGCATGAGACACGTTTTATGATATAAAGAAACTATTAGAAGAGTTCGAATAGTAATGAAAGAACAACAACAAAAGTTTTATTAATTTATTGAAAATCGGCCGACCATACAACGCTGTTTCGAGTATTATTAACAACTCATGGTCAGTAATGATTTGTGATCTAAGAAATACTTTCGGTTTAGACAAATTTCCCCGAAATAACCTTCCTTTCCTCTCAAAAAAGATTTTTTTTAAATCAATCTGTAGAAAAAATATCGAAAAGAAGGTGAATCTGGAAAAGGATGTCTAAGACAAAAATGTGTAATTATCAATGTTTATTAATAGTAATGGTTTATGGATTAAACTTAGGCGTTTATGCAGTGCGACCAGCTTGATCTATTGTGTACTCCTTTGTAGTTAGAAGTTTAGTATATAGAGAAAAGCTCTTTCGGAGGGAGCTTTTGAAAGTCTTCAACTGCTAGTACGTCCGCATCTAGAATATTGTATCTTCTGCATCACAATTGGTGTTCAGGTGTTCCATAGACTCTTCCTCATAACAGCAGAATCTGCAAATACTTGTGCTGGATATACTTATTTTGTGCAGGTGTTTATTACGGGTTAACAAACTGGAATTTGGATTAAACCGAACGCTTATAATAATTTCCATTTATTTATAAAATGATCTACATTATTTTATGAAACGAGATTTCAACATTCACTGCAGCAATGGAAACTACTGATTATATCACTGACATTATAAATAATTGCACCAATAAATATACTACTTTATATTCTTAAATCCATGTAAGAAATAAATTTTTATGAACATTTGGTATATTAAAGCTTACTTACCATCTAGCATATACTTCGAAAGATCCTCTTCGCCCTTCGGTGGTTCTCCCGCAAATACTTCCATTGTTAGTACGTTATATGTTTTATTGAAACACAATTATTTCAACACAATATATTTCTGTACTAATTTGTTTAAGAACTTTATATAATTTTTTATTTTAATATTTATATCCACTTTACAGTAAAGTAAGATTGAAAGTACACTTGCATAAACTTACATTTGCAAGTTGCTTGCAATTAAATATATGCTTTAGTATTTTAATTTCACTCACGTTGAGTAGTATTTAGTACAGCATTTATTTACGAGTTACCGCATAGTTAATATATATTTATTTATCTATTCAAACTTTTTTCACTTGTACCATGAACTATTTGAATGTCACTTAATATTTATTGGCTTCATAGACATTTTGTATAGAACTGGTTTCAAAATTTACATATTACTGACTTTACTATTGATTGTGCGCCACCTTGAAGAGATTTATAAATACAATATTATATATAACGTAATCACATGAATATATATTTCTTATTTCTTTTTTACATTTACTTTAAATGTCTTACGAAATCAATATTGGCCAAAGTCAATATTTTTATTTCCATTAAGTAAAACAAACGGAGAGCAAATTAACAAATGTGAGAAATAAACTTTGTTCCAAAAATTTGCAACAAAAAAAAATTACTATTTAAAAAAAAAAAATATTTAAAAAAAGTATTTTTTTTCTTTATAAAAAATATTATAAAACTCAGTGTATGACTTCATATGTACATATATGCATATTTAATTATGTATATTTACGCATTTCTAAAGTTGTCAGGTTATTGGTTGGAACTGTTATTCTAAAGAACTTATTTGTCATCGAGGCTTAGGCTATGCAAAATAGCAAAGAAAAATAAAGAGATACAAATCGGCATTCTTTTCTTACTTTTGAGTTTCTATTCAATCCACGAATTCGTTTTGCATTCCAATGTGTTAAAAATTAAATTGATATTCAGGAAAAATATATATATGACCATCGCATACATTTCAACAAAAGAACTCTTGATAAAGAGCCGCAGTTAACACAAAGTTACACTTTTTTGTGTGGAGACACACTACATTTTGAGTAGTCGTGTTAAGTAGCAGGGCATAATAATAATTTTAGTCTAATATTTATGACTCTACTTACTTCGTTTTCCAGGGAAATAAATGTAATTTTATTTATAACTTATATTCCTCATTCTAACAATAAACTTAAAAGATAATACCCAAATGATTTTGATCTAATTTGATATCAGATCATATAGTTTTAGTAGTAGGTACTATTTCAATCTGAATGCAGCTTATGTTGTTTTTGTTGTTGTTGTGATTTGAGTTAGTGCTATAGCGCACTTTTACTCTGTTGTGGCTAGGGGGCTTATCCCTGCCCCACTCTAAACTTTAACTATTTATTTTCTAACTGATAACGGACCGTAGAATCAGCATATCTTCCAGTGCGTCCTGAGGTGGACTTAAGATTTGTTAGAGCAGGGTTGGGCAACGTATCAATTTTTGTAAATAATTGTAGGATGCAGCTTATTAAAAATACTATAGAACTCTAAGCCATTGTCGAAATAATTGAAATTAATAAATATATAAACTTTATAAATCATCCAACAAACTAAAGAACAATGTTAAGATTAGCTGAAAGTTGACCAAAAGAACAATGTTATAATTAACTTAAAGTTGGAATAATATGAATCATTCTTAATATCGCCCTATAGTGTATAGTGTATAGTGCCCTATATTGTTTTGAAAAAAGAGACTTTATTAAATCGACTTTAAGTACAATTAATTAAATTAAATAAGAATATTAATGTTTGAAATGAGATTTCTTGATTAAGGGGAGGATACGTTAGAACTACTTGACAACAATCTGGGATACACAGAGGCACATAATCATGCAGTTAAAGATACATCTGATTGAGTTATCGTCATATTGGAGGACATGTGTTTAAATTGTGGACCAATACATGGTCTCATTGTATCATCACTTAATCATTTTTGATCGAGATCGTCTCGATTCAGTATCTAGTTTATGTAAAATTTTTGTTACCCTTGCGAATTGTAGTGACTTTGTTTGGCTTTATCCCTCACATTTTTATTAAATCATATCAATATTTTTCAATTATGCTTGTAAGTCATATTACATATATTGTAAGTAAGTTGTAGTCACATTGAGAGACATATATCTAAATTGTGAACCAGTACGTGGTCTCACAATAATATCAGCTAATCATTTTTGCGAAATCGTTTCGATTCAGTGTTTGGTTTATGGAAAATTTTTGTCACACTTGCGAGTCTTTGCTTTGTTTGGCTTTGTTCTTTACGTTATCATTGAATTATATCAAATTTTTATAATTATGGTTTCGACGATTGGGTATATAGATAACGAGTATTTAGTTTTTTCGAGGAGAAGGAAGTAAAAAGAAGTTAGTAAATTTTTGAATTAAGTCTCATAATAACTTTTTAAGTCTACTTGAACTTTTTATGGAAAACTCAATAATTATTTTCAATTCATTGAAGCCATACACGATAAATCAGAAAATGAGGCAAAAAAATTAAAAATTATAGGGCGCAAAATTAATTTAAATAACTAATTAAATATTATTAATAATTAGTATGTCTAAAGGCAAACTTTGTAATAACTAATTACATATCTCACCTTTAGACGTACTAGTGACTTTAATTTCCTCCAAGTATTTTTTTCAAGATCAAAAGCCGGTTAAGATCAACTGTAGCATGTAAGTAAAATACAATGGTATAGATAATTATGCATTCTTTTTCAAAACATTTATATCTATGTATTTATCAAAAACACATTTTTGAATTGATAAATAATAAAAATTATGCACACGCACAAATCAAACTAACCGTACAAATTATCATGTCAGCCACCTATTTTTCGAAATCTTTTTGACCAAAAGTTACTAATTTATTTATTGATTATAAAAGATATTAAATTTTTACTGCTTAAGATTGACAAAAAAATGTGAGTATAAAGTAACTACGTTAACAAGCCATTCACAAACGTAAATATTGGTAATTTTACTGGTATTGTCCAACGAAAGAGGTGAAAGACCGCCCTAAGCCAAAACTACTGTCGTTGGAAATCGTTTATTTATGCAAAGAAGAGTATGTTTACTTTAGGGCTGATACTATTGGTTCGTTATAGCTTGTTTGTCAATCCATCAAAACATTGACGTTACTATTGAATTCATTAGTGAATACTTTTTTGTAAAAAAAAAAAAAATAGGTGTTACTTATGACATTACAAATTATGGCCCTGCTTTCATTTTAAGTACATGTGTCGTCACAAAAAAAATTTACAATGACAAGCAATGCAAAAAATCAAGTACTTGGCAAATAAATACTTCTACTATTGAAGAGAGTTACATTAGCTAATTTCGCACTAAATTAAAATAAACAATAATTTTGAATAAATTTAGAAAAGTTTTATAATAACTCAATTCTATCGTTAAATAATCTAAATATATTGTATGACTTAAACTTAACAAAATTTACACAGCTTAAAACAATGTAGTAAAAAAATAAAAAGATTATTTATTAGTTATTTAATATATAATGCAGTTAATTATCTATATGTGTATGATTACTTATCTATACAATTATACTGTGTAACTAATACTATATAATTAATTTGTTTTCAAACCTTAAACAAATAATTTATTATATACATAACATACACATATTTAATAACACTACTAGAAGTAATTATCAGAGTTTGTTTCCAAAGCTTAAACATATGATTTTTTTTATATACCCACATATATTTAATAACACTACTAGAAGTAATTATCAGAGTTAAAATTTTATTAATATTAAAAACAGATTTAGTCGAGAA